TTAGGCTCTGGGAAATCTAACACGGCCTGTACCTTTCGCCTACCGGGTCGAACGCCATCTTCATCTACTTCATGTCCTAGGTATTCGATGTGTCTCTGTAAAAACGAACATTTTGCCAAGTTCAACTTCACACCTGCCTGTTTGATCAGATTTAACACTAACTCTAATAATTTCAAACCCTCCTCGCCTGCCGAGGGAATCAGCAAGTCATCGATGTATGCCAATACTTCGCCATGTCTCAGTGGACCTAGCATCTTGTTGATGATATGCGCTGGAAAACCGCCGGCGAATTCGAAAGGCCAAAGGGAACACGCAGATACTCGTAGTGTCCATCGGGCGTGATGAACGCTGTCTTACTCACAGAATCTGGATGCATAGGAACCTGATGAAAGCCTTGAGCCAAATCTAATGTGGTAAAGAAATTAGTATTCGCCAATTTAGTAAGTTGATCTGAGATCAATGGAAGTGGATACCTGTCCTTCACCGTGATAGCGTTCAACGCCCTATAATCCACGCACAGCCTCACCTCACCATTCTTTTTCGGAACCAAGACAATAGGACTAGCATACTCTGATTCACTCTCTCGTATTACTCCAGCATCCATGAGATTCTGTACCTTTTCTCTTACCACCTCCCTCTCCTTATAAGATAACCTGTAAGGCCTATAGTAAATGGGTACATCAGTAGTCAACTTTATCTGCATACTTCCTAAGTTAGTCAATCCAAGATCATCTTTTCCCTTTGAAAAACATACCGAGTAACGCCTCAACAACTCAAATAACTGTCCCATCCATTCTTCAGAAATACGGCCAACATTCACTCCAGAAAAGTCTAAGCTACTCATAGATAATTGTCTTACTTTATTTTCGGACGAAAGCGTCGCCTTCTCTACGTCCTCGCTCGACAAACAGGCCTCCACGCGTGCTAATAGTCGCCCCTTCCGCCATCGAATACTTTCATCACCAGCGTTGACGACCTTGATGCTTTCTTGTTGTCCACCTAATAATCCTGCCGGTATGATGATGGTCGACTGGCCATCTGGAAATTGCTTATTCTTCATGTAGTACTTTGCCCCTTTTACGCCGTTGATGATTTCAACTTCAACTTTGCTCGCCGTATTAGGTGGTAGTACAGTGTCGTCCGCTGATAATACTCTGCACCTGGGTGATTCGCCTTCGAGAGTGATCATTTTGACCAACTCGTTAAGATCGGGATCTTTACAAAGGTATGCCCTATCGTTTCTTACCACCATAGTTACACCTTGACTATTTATGGATGGTTGACCCAAGAGTAATTCGATGGAACCCATGTCACAGTCCGTGACTAATGCCTTGACTTCCAGATGACAATCTCCCAAAACCATCAAGAATTCTACCTGACCTATACCAATTGCGGTGCCTCCGCCAAACCCACATAATATTTTTCCCTCACCATCTGCAGTGATAGTGAGTCCTAAGCGCTGTGCTGTCGCCAAAGACATTAGATTTTGTTCGCTGCCAGTATCTAGGTATGCTTTCACATTCTCGCCGTTTACCTTAACTATACGTCGGAAACAACTATTTGAAGGATATGTCAAGAGTCTCACCTGGTGTCTTGTTTCATACTCGTCGCTCCCTGTATTCTGTTGCCTAGGGCACTCAGCTAATCTATGTCCTCCTGCTCCACATCCAATACATCGCTCCGCTCTAGGTAGAGGGCAGTCCTTACTCAAATGATTTGACAGTTGAAGCACCTCCTCTTAGCTACTGCTTCGTCTCGCCGGGGACCACCTGCTATGGAAGGAACCGCACCCCTTGATACAGAAAAAAACGCACCCCTTGACGCAGAAGGAAACGCACCCCTTGACGCAGAAGGAGCCGCACCCCTTGACACAAAATTTCTGATTCTGGATGCCTCACCATGATAACCCTCCAGCCCCGCTAGGAATGAATTGTACAAGACTTCCGGCGTAGAACAGTTGACTGCGTATGCATTGGCTCTCAGACCATCTGGAAGGCCCCTTATGATGCAAGAAACTGCCTCCTCACCCTTGATGTGTACCCCTGGTGTCTTCCGTCGTTGTACCAACTCCTCTAACATGACAGCGAATTCTCTACGCCTTGGGAACGCTGCTCTCAATGCCCCCTTCCATTGGTCCCAAGTCAAGTTGTAGTCGTCAAGTTGGTTAAACCACCTCTTTGCTGCACCTTCTAGCTTCGTCTGTGCCAATGTAGACATTTCATAGTTTGACCAACCATGAACTCTGCCTAGCTGATCAATTTTTTGTAACCACCTTTCAATATTATTATCGGCATTATCGGGATCGAACCGATCAATAACTTCAATGCCAAGTAGCGATTGTCGCTTACCACTACCTTCTTGATCCTTCTCGACGCTCCCGCCTGTCCTTGAGGCTGATGGTCCGGGTTGCAGTAATTCCGAAGCTTCGCCGACTGCTAACGCCACTTGCTGCTTAGCAATTTTCTGGATGTTCTCCATGAGGCCTCCTGCCAGAAGTTGCCTCACAATTTCTCCAACCGAAGCGTCAGAAAGGGCTGTTCTACTTCGCCGTGGAGAGTTAGAGTCATCCCGCCTTCTTCCTCTCACAGGTGATTCATTGGAATCCAACTCGATATCCTCAGTTATCAGCAAGTGGTCTTCGCCTGATTTTGCCATGATCTGTAACCAAAAATAAATTAATTGTCCGATAATGTTTTTGATAAAAATAAATGTTCACTAGAAGCCACCCTGTATGATAGAAACTGATCACCGATCAACAACCTGTTATTCTCTATGGTACACGCCACTGATATTTGTCCAGTATGTCGAAATGTATTCAAGTACGTCGAATGAATTTTGACCAATAATGTTATCCAACAAATAAATGGTACGGATTGAGATTATTCACCAAAATACTAATTTACCGCTTGATATATCCACCAAAATATCAGTAACAATATTCTTCGAACACCACTAAAATTATCTGAATGATATAAAATGTTCAATAAATTGCGATTGATTGAAATGATTTCAGATTGAACTCACTCTCGTGTGGAAATGTCGTGAAAACAATCTTCATGCGATTGAAATGATTATAACTCAACAAAACACGAATCATCATTATATTCCAAAATAAATATCATGTAATTCCCAATAGAATAGATGACTGAAATAATAATCATCTAGTATATTCACCAATAGCTGGCACGAGTTTGTCTATCGCTCTGCCTCGAGCTGAGTTTTCGTACGAAATGAAATGAATCTTGTACTTACAGTTTACAAAACGCCGTCAATGTGCTATAATGAATATAATAAACCCGCCTGGCTATTCGTTTCGTAGCGAAATCGCCGAACTAACACCGTTCAACTGTAGTCTCCTTTGTCTCTGAGATCTTTCCAACACTACAGGCCACAACAAAGGAATTTCACCAAAATTGATATTCTCGTCACTTCACCACTAAGGCACTGGGCAAAATCTCACTTCTGACTTGTTAAAGACGCGAAAAGTAAAGAAATAAATTTTATTAAATGCTCGTAACAAAATAGGAAAATAATTAATTTTAACAATACTGTCACCCTGTAGCTGCGAAAACTATTCTGTCCACTAGCCAGCCGCGCTGTCGTGGGCCTGATAGTTCCCGTCGTCGCCGCTAGGCAGTTGTCCAGGTCCCGCTTGGCCCACTCTGCGCGTCATTACATCTTACTAAATCGCCCTCTCACCGCTCTTCTCTGGGGACGTAGTGTCCCTGTCCTCTTGGTCCGGAACACATACTATCTGAATGAACTTTCGAAAATTTTCAATATTCCCCACCATAAAGCACTCAGAAAATAACAACTAAATCGGCAATTTTTCAATTTCCCCCTGTGTCTCTGAAACGAATAAATATATCAAAATTCCGAATGCGCCAATTCAGGTTTCTTCTAAATCGCTAAAATCAAACCCGTAACATAATTTATCGGTTTTTCGATAACTCCTTCAGTTATTGAGATAGCCCGTAAAACGCCCAATACGGTGATTACGCTATCATATCAAAAACTGTGCGATGTGCTTACTGTTCGTAAAGAGCTACTTACTGAGGCTGTATCTCGTGTGTTCTTGCCTACTTTTTATAGTGGCTGTAGGTCAAATTATAGATAGATAGATAGATAGATTCCTTATTGATTTCAAATAAATTACAGTCCTATAGCTAGGATACCGTTAATTCTGATGGTCACTTTACATGAATATGTGTACAATGCGAATTATAATAATTGTCACTATACATATATGCAAATGAAACCAGTATATATTGGGGCTAGCAGCAGTGTAAAAGGAATACTCTTTAAATTTTATCCAAGCTTTCGGAAATGTTTATTTCCATCATCAGGAATACTACAATGATTAAGGACTGTAAATACATTGGAAACACTATGGCCATGCCTTGTACTTACATCTTTGGTGGGGTTGGTTGCAACGTTGTTAAAAATATAAAATTGTAAAATAGGGTGTCATACTGTGCAAAATTGCTCACGTGGACACATAGGAGACTAACATTTGTATAATTACACTCAACATTTACTTATTCATTGTAAATTTGGAATTTTAAAATTTGAAAAAAAGGAGGGAAAAGTTGCCAGTCACATTTCTTACATTGTTAAAATTCTTTGAATTCTTTTAGGTTAGGAATGTCTGTTTCTTTCTTTTCACAAAATAGATCTTGTGTATGTCAATTGACAGGTACACAAGATTTTCTATTTTGTGAAAAGGAAGAAACAGACATTCCTCGCATGCGTCGCATTTTTCAGAAAATTTGAATATCTTTTGAACCATCAACAATTAGTTTGATTACAAATGACCACCTCTATCACCCAACTTCTTTTGATCCATTACTCATCCACCCTGTATAGTTGGCAATATTTTTGCATTCAAGTGGAGTAAGATTGTCGATGAAGTCAATCAACAAGTGGCCATTCGGGAGATGATCACTGTTTGGTATTCTGATGAGACTATTGCTGTAGGTCAAATTACATTATCTGCGCAGGGCAAGAATGGTCTCGAAGCTACACCCCTATCCCGTCCTCCCTCTTCTCGCAGCTAGCCACCCATCTCCCAACCACCGACTCCGTTTGCCTGATGATCAAGCGCTACGACGATGGAAACGTCAGCCGCTATCTCACCGACAGGCAGATCAACGATGTGGTGTACCTCACTGGGCCCTTGGGCGAGTTCGATATCGGGACGGTAGAGGAAAGGAATGGATTTCTGATGTTGGCAGCCGGCACGGGGGTTACGCCCATGCTCGGATTGCTGGTGTTTTTATTGGAGAGGAGAATCAGGAAATGGTGAGTAGTAATAGGCCTTTTTATTTGGTTGACTATCGTCATTAATGTCTAGGAACCACCTTCAGTGGCTCGAATAATTTTTCATCTCATAAAATGAAGCTAATATTTTGAAATGATTTCGAAGAGTCCGTCACATTTCATTCTGAAGTTCCAACATATAGAATTATGTCACTTTTATCAAATGAAAATATAATATTGTATAATAGAAACGTAAAATGTGTTTTTTTGTAGAGGTCAACGAAAACAACTTTTTTTTTGAATTCGGACGTATTGGACGTATTTGTATTTTGTTGAGAGGAATCACTCCTAGGCTTTTGTCACAACTCTGAAACACCCTGTATGGTGGTATGGAAATTAGTTTAATGATACCTGAATTACTATGGAATAAGAACGGAAACCTTTGGGAATTTCTTGAAGAAAAATCTGCAGTTTCAGGTTGTATCGATTATGAAGCATGTTACATAATATATTCTTTAAAACTTGTAAACATTATTCCAGAGTTGTGCTTCGAATTCAATCAGAACAATACTTTTGAGTATTCCATGTAATGTTCACACGATTCATTCGTTTTATCTATATTTTGTATTCACTGCGTGATTAAACAGGATGACTCCAAATGTACCCCGGCATATATCCCATACCACGGCACCAGCGTGCTGAAATTTGTGAGCTAGTGTAGCCAATGGTGATGCTACAAAAGCTCACTGATCTAGGGACTGCTCTAATAGGGAGTAAGGAAAATATCACTTCTGCGTAAAAAAGAGACTACTCTCTTTAAATGAAAGTATATTTTACCGAAAATCATTTGAAAGCAAAAAATTTTAAAGAGCCAGCGTGTATTGAACACGACCTGCCGGCGTGGCTTTTGGGCACACTAACCAATGAACCACCAAGTCTACTCGAAATTTTTTATTTTAAGCGTCACTGTTGGCATCACAGGCTCACAGAAGGTATGTTCTGTTTTACACCACATTTTCATCATTGATGGAAGTGATGTCACTCTCTGATGCTCCGAATTGTTGGAGTCAACAGTGTTGAAAAAACAGCAGTTATTTAACATGACAAGCAGAACTGTTTTTTTTTTCATTATTCATTTTTCTCTTCGTGATTTGATGGTGATTTAGATTGTTTTCAACTAGAAGCTCAGAATTGGCGAAAACCAATGAAAAATGATGTATTGAAAGTGTTATTATTGGAGACCTTGTCTCCAGATCCAGAAGTTCTAGCAGTTCTTCTGATAATTCCGTTGATAATATATTGTTTATGTTGAGGAGTAGACGAGATAGGTTGAAAATTCTCAGCAACCTATATACAAAACATTGCATTAAATTATGATGATATAGATGATAATAATAATAATTTAAGTGTATTCAAAAACGTTTACAAAATATACATTGGAACTTACAAATATGTATTTTGAATGAACGGGGAAAAACCTCACGAAGTGAACCTTCTAGTAAGGATAAAAAATAAATTTACATAGGTCAATAAATATTCAACAATATTAAATTATCACAAGGAAAACATTGTCTCATTAGGAAATGAGACATCATGTATATAATTCATTCAATTCGCATAATTATTTATATCAATATATACTTATTCACAATTATTATTCAGATGTTTCTGATTATATTATTGAATGTTAATTAATAAAATAATTTTTTGGGGAGTCTAATATCCAGTTGTTTATTTTTATCGTATAGGATTAGAGTGATATCATTTGGGATTTTATTTTATAGGTAAGGAATTCAAAATTCATAATTTCTACGTCCAATCGACTTGCTTGTTTTATATTTCAATGTTATGTTATTTTTATTTCTTATTTCATAGATATAATCTTTGAACTGAATGTCCTCTTTATTTTTGAAAATATGAATCCTTCCTTATATGAAAGTTCAGTTGGAAACAAATAATCCTCTCCATGAATAATTTTTAAAATCCATTTTTGTGCAATTTCCAATTTCCTCAAATATATCTGCGTCACTCCACCCCATCCTAATATCCCATATACTAATTGAGATTAAACTAAAGCATAATATATAATTTTTAAATTACAAATATTTGATAAGTTTTTGAAATGTTTGAATTTAGGAATGAGCCATCTTATTTTCTTAGTGACATAATCAATATGATGATCCCATTTCAGAGATAGATTCCTTAATAAGAATTCTCTGTCCACTGAATGTTTGTGTACTAATTTCTTTAAATTCATGATGGGAAAGAAAAAAGTACCTACCACTCGAAATTTCCTCAATTTCTGTTGGAATCAATAATGCAGTTATTCTTTTATTCTCATATTCTAGACTAAGCAAACAGCTTTCAGGTCCAATATTTTGTTTTTGAGGTTATGCTGTCGCTGTCATTTTGGAAGTCACCAAAATTCGTCCACCATCCTATTATAAGAGAAGGAGAGATGATATAGTCCAGTAGCCAGGGGAATTTGCCCAGCAAAAGGTCCGGTAGGTTTGATTTTTGGTTGTTCCAGAGTTCGGGGTGCACTAGTCTACTCCTTCGGCTAGCTCAAGGAATCACAGGTCGTGGGTTATTCTTGTGGGTAAATACAGCTCAATCAGGCAACAAATTCTATTTATTATGGATTGACGATAACACATTAACAATAACTGGTTACAAGATATAATTGACCGGGTTACATGCCGCCGGTATCAATATAAAAATGGCGAAGGACCGAGCACCCTCTGTCCTCTATCGCCGACCTAGGCTAACTACCCCTGTACGGAACCGAAACTCGCGAACCACACAATTAGTACCTGCGCATTCCGCACCACACGACATTATGGCGGATTATTTAAAATAGACCATCACATCACCCCCCTACTTAAATTAAATAACCTAGACATAAATTTAGGTACATTAAGAATACGTCATAATGTATAGGTCAATTAAACTTCAACTAACATGAACAACATAACATAATCAAACTAATATAAGTTCATACAATCTCAATACAAATATATCCTAAACAAACACTATAATTTAAGATGAAAAATCTGCCGAAATAACTCTATATGGCTTTAAATGTACAACATTCTGCTTCGACATTTCCTTACCATTATTATCCCCAATGATGTACGAATTTGGGCCGGCTTGCCGTATAATATGAAACGGGCCCTCATACAAAAGACAAAATTTCTTGATAGTTTTATCTTCAGCAGAAGACTGGTAGTGTGTTCGAACTAGGACCTTGTCTCCCACATGGAAAACAACAGGATTTATTTTCGAATTTACCCTGTCTGCACGCCGCTGCGCCTTTGTCTTCAAATTATTATGGGCTAATTTCCAAACACTTTCCAGGGATTCTAATGGCCTTTGTTCATCGGGAAAACTAATAATTGTTTGAATTGGATTTTTCCTTACTTCTCCCGTTTGCAGGTAAATAGGTGTACATTCGGTCGACAAGTTAACAGTGCAATTTAAACATTCTTCAATGAACCCTAACATATTTGGCCATTTAGTATGCTTCGCATGACAATATGAACGCAAAAGACGACCTACCTCTTTATTATACCTTTCGGTAATATTTCCTTGTGGGAAGTAGACTGAAATTAGTTTTGTTTTAATACCCCTTTCCGCAAGAGTGTTTTTCCATAGCTTACTGGTGAATTGCGTTGCGTCATCGCTAAGAATACACTTAGGCTCTTGAACCTCTGGTATATAATGCTGTAAAATTTTATCCAAAATTGAACGTGATGTAGCCCTACGCAGTGCGTACAATTTAATATATTTTGAAAAGGCATCCACTATTACCAACAACTTCGTAACTTTACCTTTTCCTTCAGGCAACGGACCAATCATATCCAAACATACCAATTGTCCTGATTTCTCCGCAATAATGGAATTCATCATTCCACGGCTTACTGGTGAAGACTTGCCCTTTTGACACAAGTCACAGGATCCTATAATATTTCTCACATGCTTCAGCATCCTTGGCCAATAAAAAGTTTGACTCATATACATATATGTTTTTGTCTTCCAAAATGTCCCATTGTCTCATGATGGGTTGAAACTATTTCTTTTACTTGACTCTTTGGAACACACAACTTGAAACCTGGGCTATTTTTATCACCCTGTTTAAATAACAGTCCCTCATGGATCACAAATCAATTCCATATATTATATTCCTTCTCAGTAAGAATCGGAGCTCTACTTTGAAAACAGAAACTCCATCTTCTCTCTTATCCAATTCTCGCCTAATTGGTCGACTCGCAGATTTTTAAAATGTTTTTTCAACTCTTTAAAGTTCTTGCCGATTTTTACCAGTGATATCTGCACGTTATCTGATTGACTCGGCTTAATATTGAAATTTTGTTTTTCTGGAAAACGTGACAAGATGTCTGCCACCACATTTTCTGACCCCTTGCAGTATTCAATCCTAAAATCAAATTCTTGAATAAACATGATCCAACGAGAAAGTCTCGCAGATCGGAGTTTACATGTTAATAAAAAACTTGAAGATTTATGATCAGAAATAACCACTAAATCGCGACCCAAAATCAGAGTCCGCCACTGGCGCAAACAATGAATGACATCTAGCGCTTCCTTTTCCGTTGTCGTATAGTTCAACTGACTTCCCTTGAAGCTAGAAATTGTGTAGGCTATTACCTGACGCTCATTTAATTCTGACATCTGAAATAATGTACCTCCCAAAGCAAAATTAAAGCTATCACATTGAATATAAAATGTTTTGTATGTTTTTCATCCGGATGAATCATCAAAGATACGTTTATGAAAATAATTTTAATAGCTTGAAATGCTTCTTTTTCGACTATTCCCCAACACCATTAATCATTTTTCTTCAGTAACCGCAGAAGCGGAAGTGAAATATTTGCATAATTTTTGCAAAAACGCTGTTGATAATTGACCAGACCGAGAAAACCTCTCAACTCCCGCAAATTACGAGGAGCAGGGAAATTTTGTATACAGGATATTCTATTTTCATTAATAGACACCCCTACCGGTGAAATAACGTTTTCTAAGAA